GGCTGCATTGGTTGGGGAAAGAGGCAGCAAGGAGTGGAGCAGGAGAGTGGTGGGATGTAACCAAAAAAAGGGAGGGAGAAGGGATGGGGAGAGGCAGGGCCTTGGCAGAGGAGGTTTTGGCCCAGTCTTTCGTCAGTCTGGGAGAAGGGGTCTCACACCCACTGGCCCCCTGGGACTCCCTTCAGCAGTTGCCTCTGATGGATTCTATTCTTTTTTGTGCATTATCAACAAAGATGTTTATTCAGGCCCCTGATCCTGCACCATGTAAATCAACGGGAGCCTTGCCATTGATTCCGTTTCACTCTAAAGGCCTGATCCAAAGATCATTGCTATCAATGGGAACATTCCACTGGGATTGCACTGATGTTACTGTCTTCAAGCCAGACCCTCAATGACTAGTGACTAATGTAGATGAAAACATAATTGTAAAACCCTTATTACTGGCAGTGATGTGCAAGGAAAGAACTCAGCTTGAGTCTCAGAGTGAGTGTGAAGGATAGGCAGTTAGAAAAAGTTCTGGGTGGTTTTTTTTAAATTTTATAATCTGGAAGATAGTGAGCAGCACCTAAAATGTCATTTCATAGAGTCACATTTTAAAATAAAACCACCAGTAATATGAAGGAGTGGATTGTCTTTTAATCGATGCATGTTGATTCGTCTTACTGGGTGGGCACAAGATGTAACACTTTGTTAAAGGTGACCGAAGGGAAGGTGAGATCTTGTACACTGGGCACAAAACTAGGAGCTAGGAACTTTTTAATTCTAATTCCAGTGCTAATTGTAATTCTCCTAGGAGATTCACTTGACTGATCTATCTCAGTTATATTACAGGCAGTCCCCGGGTTACGTACAAGATAGGGACTGTAGGTTTGTTCTTAAGTTGAATTTGTATGTAAGTCGGAACTGGTACATATTGTAGGGGAAACATTTCTCCAGAGCTCAGTTTTATTCTCCCACACCTCACTTCCCTCAGTCCTTTATTCTCAAGCTGAGGTGTCTGCTGAGAAAAGCCGCTCCGCGTCTCCCTGGTCTGCTGGGAGGGGCGCTAGCTTTGCGTCTCCCTGGTCTGCTGGGGGGAAGCAGCTAGTGCGGGGTTGCCTCACCCCGTTTGTAAGTAGGGATCCGATGTAAGTCGGATCCTTGTAACCCGGGGACTGCCTGTATTTGTAAAACAGGGAAAATATCTATTTATCCAACCATCTGTCTATTTGGGGGAAGACTTCCAGATCCTAGGGGTTAAAATATATTTGTAGATAGTACAGTTTAGTAAGAATTTGAATAAGAAAGCTACATTTAACAGAAACGTAGCTCTGACATTACAGTGCAAAATGTTCTTAAGTTAGTTTGTGAACAGAGGATGTTAACAATTGACTAGCGTCATTTTTACCCTGCAGGAGCTGACAATAGAGGGTTATGGTTGCATGAATGTTTAATTATAACAAACAAAACATATTTTTTGTTTATGTAAAACACTTAAAAGACAGAACAGAATTGTGTTAAAACTGATATGAAAACCACAGTATTATCAGTACAGTACTTGTGAAACAGGAGGCAAAATTAGAGGTCTGGCAGAAGTGGGACCCAATGCTGGGAAGTGTTGACTAACTTTTGAGCAGCCTTAGCTCTCAGTGAGGTCACTGCTGCTGTTCAGAACCCAAGCTCAGTTTTGGATGGATGAACAAATGGTATTTTCAGTTAAGTGACAATTTCAGCAAAAAGAAAAAATTGTTTCAAATTGGACTGAAAACAATTTTTTTGACATTTTTGATTAATCAAAACGTCAAAACAATTTTTTTGTTTGGATGAAGTGAAACATTAAATTCCAATAATTTTAAAACATTTATGAGAAAAAAAGTAAAATCAAAGAAAATTTTCAAAACAATTGACAAAACTGTAATTTAATATATATATATGTGTTAGATCTAAAGGGATTCCAGAATCTGGAAACTGAACTCCTAAAGATTCTGATTTCCATGTCTGACCCAGGCCCCAAAAGACTTATTTCATCACATAAGAGGATCAAATTAATGCAAAGTCATCTGATCTCACAAGATTTATACAGTTTTGTCACAGAATCATCCAAGGATAGTTCATGAGATTTTGACAAACCCTAGCCCTACTTTAGACTCACGCCCAAAATCTATTCTAGTCCTGACCTAATTCTGGAGCTGAATAGTGTCTCTTCAGCCCACCCATCTAGTATTTTTTGTTTTCTGAAAATAACTGGTTTTTTAATTGTGTTTTTACATAAGTGCAGTCTTCTCTAAAAAGCAGTTAATACATAAGAAAGTGGAGAACTCATGAAGACTTGGACCTGATAAAGATCTTATTTACATTAATGTAAATCGGGTGTAACTCCATTCACTTCAGTAACCTTTTCAATTTTACATCAATGAGATTAGAATTTGAGCCAAATTGTTTATCAAAACAAAGACAGATTTTAATTCGTGACATCATTATTTATGATGATAATTCTTTTCAATTTGCAGATGGGCTTCTTCCGCAGGAGATACAAAGAAATCATTGAGGCTGAGAAAAACAGGAAGGAAAATGAAGATAGTTGGGACTGGGTCCAGAAAAATCAATGAACTGCCAGAAAAAAGGTCATGTGACATACACTTGCTAGCCTATTGGTCCTGCTCTTGTATCTTCCATATGTGGAAGAAGGAATCTTCTCCAGATTTTTCGGAGGCCCTGTTGATGCTGTGTTCTTTATCATCCTAACAAGCTAGGGAACATATCCTGAGGCAACCACTGCAGCCATGTCAGGTGACTGGAGCAATTTACATTTCCTGTACGAGTTGAACTTTGAACTTTGGTAACCAAGCTGCAGTGCAGAGCAATATTTATGAATCCAACATATGTGGTATACCCTCAGGGGAAGACTGATACCTAAAAGTATTTTTATAAATATAAGCTTTTTATACTGATTATGTCTTTATATTTGTATCAATGTTTTATTGTTTCTATTGAATAGCTATATAGTTCACTCAAGCACTGATATCTGGCTAAGACCTTGGAAATACATATATGTATATATAAATCTTATTGTACTTTTGAACTTCAATGAAAAAAAAGACTTTCAGATGAAACTAGCTGAAAAACCTCACATAGCAAATCCACAAGGCTTGGTAATGTATGTAGACCAATAAATGGCAATAAGCCAAAGTCTTTTCACATTTTTAAGATGAAGTTGATTTTTTAGTTATGAGCTAAAGAACCTAAAGTATTACTCACATATGATTTTCTGCATTTGAATCTATCCGTTACTAATCTGAGTTGTGGGAAACAATCACTCACCGCCAAGTAACAAGAATTATAGTTCCACATTGCCTCTTGTATTTCAGGAATATAGCCTTTTGGTCGCAGGGCATATTGCACTGAAGAAAGCAGTGAAGAATGTCTTCTTTTGGCCAACTCTGTCTCCTGCAATCTTTAAGCCTTTGACAATGAGCAAGATTTGGGCAGTCAAGATACTGCAGAGACTTAATTGGATCAACCACTAAGGCATCAACTAATTACCTTGTTTTAAAAATGGGATTAATAATATCAACTTTAGTGATATAAAAGATGGCCTTTAAGACATTGTTAATGGTCATAGTCCAATCTGTTTCACATGATGCTGTACAAGCTAGTGATCATAGCTACAAGGGTTGACCATTATGCCTGCCATCTAAATTGTATGCACCCAAGTTACAAAATTATAATCTTTAGAATAATGGCAGTATTAGATAGATGAGTAAATTAGATGTATTTCTAAATATTGAGGTTTCAAATTTGGATGCTTTTAATATCAGCTGTCATCCTTCATTTAGTATTAAAATCTGAATTGAATTATGGCACAGACCTTGCTAAAATGCAAACCCTCACTCACAAATAATTCTTTAGCAGATTTCTTCCTGAGCTAGAAGAAACTCAGTGTGAATGAATGCAGCCATGTTCTTTCAAAGAGATGTTGGTATCTGAATAGAAATAGTGTTACTGCTACACCACTGGTTTATAGACATTATTGGTCTACTTCTGTTCTTACATTTCAGCAGAGTACATCAGAGTACATTCCACTGATAGGGTGGTATAAAATCAATGTAATGGAGAAAACGAGGAGTCCTGTGGCACCTTATAGACTAAAGACCCACTTCATCAAGGTCTTTACCCACGAAAGCTTATGCTCCAATAACTTTGGGTATGTCTACACTACCCTCCTAGTTCGAACTAGGAGGGTAATGTAGGCATACCGCACTTGCAAATGAAGCCCGGGATTTGAATTTCCCGGGCTTCATTTGCAAGTGCGGTATGCCTACATTACCCTCCTAGTTCGAACTAGGAGGGTAATGTAGGCATACCGCACTTGCAAATGAAGCCCGGGATTTGAATTTCCCGGGCTTCATTTGCAAGTGCGGTATGCCTACATTACCCTCCTAGTTCGAACTAGGAGGGTAATGTAGGCATACCGCACTTGCAAATGAAGCCCGGGATTTGAATTTCCCGGGCTTCATTTGCAAGTGCGGTATGCCTACATTACCCTCCTAGTTCGAACTAGGAGGGTAGTGTAGACATACCCAAAGTTATTGGAGCATAAGCTTTCGTGGGTAAAGACCTTGATGAAGTGGGTCTTTAGTCTATAAGGTGCCACAGGACTCCTTCTCGCTTTTGCAGATCCAGACTAACACGTCTACCCTTCTGATACTTGTAATGGAGAAGAGAATCAAGCCCTATGTATTAGAAGGAGATGAAAAAAGAGCAAAAGCGTGACTGATGTCATCCTCCTGCATGATACAAGAATACTGAAGGCTTGAATACAAAGAATAAGCAAATTTGCATGAGGGCTTGCCTGATCCTTCCACTTGTGAAGAGGCATTTTCTTTGCAAATTCACTCTCGTTTCCAGCTACAGTATATGAACCATGTCCTACTCATGCATTTTTATGTGTTCCTTGTCATTTGGATACAGCAATTGTATATAGCAACTGTAGCTATCTTAACCTGTTAAGCAGGAGACAGAGATAATTTTGTATCCACTAAAAAATTGTCCCTTAAAGCAGCAGTTCCCAGACACCCGGTAGCAGCCCAGTGCCAGGCTGCAAACTGCTGGCTGCCAGGCAGAGGTGGAGGATGTAGCCATAAGCTGGATGCTGGGTTTTACCTGCTACATGCTGTGCCAGCACTTCTGTTAGGGGCATACGTGGGACTTCAAGCAGAGCTGGGACATGGCACTGAGTGAGAAGGGCAGGGCCGTGAAAGACAGGTTACAGCTCCCCAGCCGTTGCCCGCCCTGCATTCTCTGTCTGGCCTGGCTGAGGCCGTGGCCATGGCCATGGCCGCAGGTGCTTTGGTGGCAGTACATTGTTACTGTGGGGAATTTCCCCACTGTGCGTGCGCCCAGGCTGGGCACCAGCACAAGCCTGGCCACACAGAGTCCGCCCTGCCGAGGGAGCTGTGGCCCCTCTCTGCTCTGGCCCTGACCCCATAGAACCCCTGTATCCCTATAATCCAAAACTGTTATATAGAGATAGCTGGTTATTACCGTATTATGGAGATACTATTATGATATGCAGATAGGTTGCTACAAGAGACTGAAATAAGTTTAAGATATTATGGTTTTACATCTGTTTGACGATTTGAAAATATGAAACCTTGAGAGAAGATCTAAATGAGGTTACCTGGATCATTTTACCAAAGGAATCATACTGGAGTCTTTTGCTAGCCAGTACTGTTATTGGGCGCATGTTTAAACCAAGATAAAACATGTTAGGGTTGGGGGAATGTGCTGGCTAACACACTTTCACCAACAATTTTTAAAATCCTAGTGTAGCTAGGGCAAGGTCTATTTCAACATGTACTCACTAGTTAGGGGCATCCATAGAGGAGTTAGAGGGTAATCTGGAGCAGCTAATACATGTTAAAATACAGCTTGTATGGTCTCGCTGGGGTTTAAAAACGAATGCTCTAAAATGCTTTTTTAAAAACACCTTTTATCTTATTCTAGACATACCAATACAGAAGATCAGGTGTGAAAATAATCTATAAGACTGTACTGACAAGAACATTGAGGAAATTCCCTTTATGTGACCATTTGCTGCAGGTGTTTCAAATAATTGTGCAAAATTCATACAGTAAATTGTAATAGTCTGTGACTGATGTAGCTTGTCAGCTAGTAATGTCTAATAGGACAATGTCAATTTGAAACATTAATTATAAACGTAGCCATGAGATATTTGAGTACTGGCTTGAACCACAAGAACATCAACTTTCTGTGGAAAATAGCTGACACAAGTGTTACTCCAAACAGCACGGATTAGCTTGTCTTTGCAAAATTTACATTGGCTCCTCCAGTCTTTCTTGTTTCCTGTGCAAAACCACATTAAACTTTCAATATAATTAGGAATGTGATGTAGCTCTGATTTAAATCTCTGATCTTAAAGACCGTGGATGGTTGGGTAGCAAGATATGGACTTGCATCTTACTGGTAATGTTTTATTTGCATATTCATTATTTGCATAATGAATATGCAAATATACAAATAAGATGTTGCTTGTCCACTAAACGTTTGTGTAGGGGTTTGTCGGTCCACGGTATAGAAAGTTTGGGAACCACTACGTTAAAGGACCTTCTTAGCTATGTCCAAAAATGACAGAAGTATAAATAAGACACATTTAGGTCTTGTTTACCCTTACAGCACTGCACCAATGCAGCTGCACCAAGAGGTATCTACAAAAGGATTTTCTATACCACTGGGTAATGTAGTTATATTGACATGAGTTGGTAGTGTAGATCAAACTTCAGTATAGCAAATGACCTCATAGGAAGAACGTGAAAGGATCCAGTAAACAAGAATATTGCTATAATCACTAATAGCAAGCTACAAATTCTTTTTAATGAGCTCAAAGCCAAAGAATAGTGGTCTCCCATTGCACTATTTAGTATCCTAGATTTAAGCTAAATTCATCCCTGGTATAATTCCATTGACTGCATAGTACTTTCACCAAGAATATATTTGGCTCAATGTTTCTGGATAAAGTACTGAAGAAGGCTACAGACTGAAAAAGGTGTTTTGCTGTAAGGATAAAAGAGAATAGATGCAGTATAAGGGATTGCCTAGGCCAAGATATGGAGGAGAGGAGAGAGATCCTTATTTAATAATAAAGATATTCAATATGTATCCTGGCCAGTGTTGCCTATAAGCAAAGTGCTTGGACGGCCGCCTAGGAGGGATTTAAATGCCACCCACCTGATTAGCAGAGTGCCCACTGTCTTCCACAACATGCCAGATGTGTGTCTGTCAGTGGTGCACATCTGCACATGCATTGGTGTAATGTAGTGATGGGAAAAAATTGAGGGAATATTTGTCCTGACTCCTACAAAATGATGTTGTCTGGTTAAATTAGTGATAAGATGCCATAAACACTCCATAAAATCACAGAGGATTTCAGCTCTTATTTGGTATTAGGTATTTTGTGGTTCAGATATCACAAAAGGTTTAGTGTTTCTATGTGAGCTCATCATGAATTTCCCTGTTGGGTTCTTGGCAAGTTCCACATTGAGTCTCTTTAGTTCCCAGGATGATAAAACTTGATGAAATACCCCAGGACAGAACAGATTTAAAATAATAAATTCAAATTTCATTAAACCTACGGGTTTTGATCCAGTATCAGTTGGTTTCAATAAAGTATCAGTTGTTTCAATCAACTTCTGAAAAGAAAACCAAACCCTTATGAAAACGTACTTACACTTCAAATTTGTATTTAAAGTAGATGTGTGCTAAAGGTGTTCTCTTTTTTCACAGGGGAGCCCAAAGGTATATAAATCACTTATGGCTGTTTCTGCCATGTTCAGGGTGCCCCCTTAAAGGTGTCAAGCCGTGTGCCCTCTAAGCTGGGGGCAGAACAGCTTCACAGGTAATTAATAAGCCCCACCCAGTCAGAGGCTCAAGTCTTCAAGCTGACTGACTGGGCAAGGCTGATTAATTACCTGTGAAGCTGTGCTGCCACACAGCTTAAAGGGAACACTGGTGTCAAGCATAGCTGACTATACTTTAGGGACAGAGAAAGATTTGAGACCAGACTCAGAATAAAATTCACCTCTGTATAGAGGTCTGGTGTGGCACCTATGCATTGCTTATGAACTACTGAGTGCATAAGTGGTAAAGTACACAGGTCTTGCCTTAGAGCAATGGGCGAAGAGATGACC